CTTTAGGAAAACACCTTATATGGATACCTTTTGTAAATTTTAGATGCCAACAAAAAATTTAATCTTAGTGTAGTAGAACTTCTATAAATGATATCGACGATGTATTGGACTTTCATAGACTCTTTACATCCTCAAAAGGAGCTAAGTCCACAAACACTTTTGTACACTTCTAGTACCTCCTTGATGATGTATTTATTTTAGTACTAAAAATCATCTGTATCTAATTGGATTGGTTGCTGTTTTGTTGGTGTTCTAAACCATGAACTTTGAAGATTAAGATTGAAGTTCTAGAATTTCTGATAAAAAAGGGCAACCACAGAGGAAGAGCTAAATTAGCCCAAAAAAGAGCAAGATTTGTGCATATATGAAGATGTACTGTTATTTGATGTGCTTTTTTCCTATCTAGGCACAAGAAGCCAAGAAAATGAAGCTGCTGCTGAAAAGAAAGAAGGCTGAAAGTATGCGTTTATTAGAAATGGAAAAGAGACAAAAGCAGCGTGTGGAGGAAATGAGAGAAACTCAAAAGAAGGTATGGCAACTTGGCCTCTTCTGTTGTCTATTTCGTGGCTTTTTGCAGCCTCTTTATCTTGTATTTCTTTGTGTCCCTCTTCCATGCCACTTATGATCCCCCTGTATTAATTTGTGATTATAGTATATTTGGATTTTTCTACTGTTTAACCTATCAGATGAATCTTTATAGGACGTAGAGAATATGAACTTGAAGGAACAGATACGAGCTGAAGTTCGAAAGGAACTCAGTAAGCTTGAAATGACATGCCATGATATGGCTTCGGTGTTGCACGGATTGGGAATCACTGTTGGCAATGGCACTAGTCATGAGGTTTGGTTACGCTCAGTCTCTAAATATCTTCCATCTTCTTAATTTTAAATTACCTAATTCTACTGAACGCAAATAATTCCAGGGAACATACTTTTATGAAACATTGGCATTCTTGTTTTGCTCTTGCCCTGATTTATGATTGGTGACCTCTCTTGTTCTTAGCAATCATATGATCCTTTTTTTCTGGTCTTGTTTAAGAGAAGTTTAGTTGAAACATAAATGATAGATTGTAAGTCCCTTAAAAATCTGCTTCTTCTACAGACGAGCAACTTAGATAATCTGATTGCATTAAGTTTGTGCAGAAAACTCAGCTAAATTAGCATTTTTCAAAGTGCTCAGCTAGTATGTCTTACATTCTTGTAAATGCAAGATCTCAAATCTGTGTATTAGATCAGCTATTATTCCTTTTTAGTGTTTTGGTTAGCTTTCTGATTATGTTCCCATTTTTTTCTCTCCCCCAATATTGTCTCATCTTATATTGTATTGGCTGTTGTTAGCCTGTGTTGAGACTCGGCTCTCAGATCCACACTCATATTTCAACATGCCACTTGTTAAGGAAAGCTAGTTGTCAGGACATGCAGCACATTTCTCATTTCTTGTTTTTACCTAAGATTTTGGGAGTTGTCTTACTATCTTCTCTGTATGACCGTCTCTTTCTTCTATTTCTATTCGTGAAGTGTTAGTCACAGTTAGAGGAATAACATGAGAGACATTTCTTACAATAAATTCTTGTTTCAGGTTCGCGTTGCTTATAAAAAAGCCTTGCTGAAATTTCATCCGGATAGAGCTTCACAATCTGATTTACAACAGCAAGTTGAAGCTGAGGAGAAATTTAAGCTCATTTCTCGAATGAAGGATAAATACTTACCATCTTTATGACAATGACATAGGACATAAATGTAGTTTTTTCTCAGGGAAGATATTATATTTTAGGATGGAAATTTTGTGTATAGGCCTTCAATGCTTGAACTTTTCCCATCACATGGAAAGCTGGACTCAAATGCAGAAAGGTTTTTTATATCCAGGTTTAGTTTTGTTCATTTCTTTTTGTTTTTTGTTAATGTAATTTTGTTTTTCCATGGTTGAGATGGCTTTCAGGAATTTCTCAACGAAGGCTGTAATTTTTTCAATTTTTGGTCACTGGTTATGTGACTTTAGTTGATTTTAAGGTCAAGTTTACATTCGTCGTGTTTTTTACCAAGGTGACATTTATTTTGAGATGGATGGAGTAGCTGAATTTTAATCTTCAAATAGTTCATTTTCAATGGATTTTTATTGTAAAAGATTCTTTTGCTCATAAAAGATTGTTGAACTCAATAGACATTTCACATAAATGCATAGTTTTATTTGCTTGGACAAATATAAGTACAATTATACTTCAGATTAAACCAATAATCAATCCCACTTCATCTTTATACACATCTTAAATCTTGTGAAGAATGACTTTAACTCCATGCTGTGGACGAAGCATAAAAAGCTGAGCAGGAGAGTGAACATAAGTTGGTGAAATCGTGAACATATAACGTTGTAGAATCATCGGTAATTTTTGCTTCCGTCATTGCAAAGTTCAAGGCTAAACAAGTTCGAGGTCCATAACCAAATGGCAAGTATGCTACTGGATTGTTGTTTGTAGCTTTAACAACTCCTTCAACAAATCTATCTAGTTTGAAAAAATGAACGTCTTCTCCCCATATTTTACGATCATGTTGAACTGCTAATGGTGATATATAGAAATGCATTTCAGGTGGTAAACTTAGCTTTTCCTAGCTCAACTTTCCTTTTCATGAATGGTACCAAAGGGTACAATCTTAGAGATTCAAGAATCATGTTCATCTACATTGATCAAAAAATGTTGAAAAGTGTTATGTAATAAAATAAAAGTATTGAAATTGATAATAAACAAATGCTAACAATTTTCAGTCTTGATAGGTATGAGCAATGACTAATGTTGCCACTAAAACATAGTATTAGTGGCGACTATTGTTGCCACTAAAACATATTATTAGTGGTGACTAATGTTGCAACTAAAACATATTATTAGTGGCGACTGTTTTATGTATTAGCGGCGATTACTGTTGCCACTAAAACATAGTAATAGTGGCGACTGCTTTAGGTATTAGCGGCGACTAATGTTGCCACTAAAAAATATTATTAGTGGGACTCTTTTACGTTTTAGCGGCGACTACTGTTGCCACTAAAACGTAGTATTACTGGCGACTAATTAAGGTATTAGCGGCGACTAATGTTCCCACTAAAACATATTATTAGTGGCGACTGTTTTAGGTTTTAGCGGCGACTACTGTTGCCACTAAAACTAGTATTAGTGGCGACTATTTTAGGTATTAGCGGCGACTAATGTTGCGACTAAAACATAGTATTAGTGGCGACTGTAACAGGTATTAGCAGCGACTAATGTTGCCAAAACTATTATTAGTGGCGACTATAATAAGTACTAGCGGCGACTACATTTGCCACTAAAACATAGTATTAGTGGCGACTATTAGAAGTGTTAGCGGCGACTATTGTTGCCAATAAAACATAGTATTAGTGACGACTATTATAAGTGTTAGCGGCGATTAATGTTGCCACTAAAACATAATATTAGTGGTGACTATTATAAGTATTAGCTCTCACTAATGTTGCCACTAAAACACAGTATTAGTGGCGACTATTATAAGTGTTAGCGGCGACTAATGTTGCCAGTAAAACATAGTATTAGCGGCGACTATTGTAAGTGTGGTCCTAGCTATTATACTATGATATCAATAATGGTACATTTGTATAATATTTGGTGTTTATGCAAGTAAATTTAACATTTAAAATATGTCTCTTATGAAGATACACTTATATTGGATTAGATTCAGATTCATTATATCAAAATCAGTATGTCTACCTTCACAAGATAGGGGTAACTAGATTTTCTATCTCCTAATGTCATTTTCATAAAGTTGGTAAGTATTTATCCTTCATTTGAGAAATAAGCTTAAATGTCTCCTCAGCTTCAACTTGCTGTCGTATATCAGATTGTGAAGATCTATCTGGATGAAATTTCAACAACGCTTTTTTGTAAGCAACGCGAACCTGAAACAAGATCTTACTCTTAAGTAACACTTACCAAAGATGAAAGATGTTTAGAGACTGAGCGTAAACAAACCTCAAGACTAGTACCATCACCAACAGTGATTCCCAATCCAAACAACACCGAAGCCATATCATGGCATGTCATTTCAAGCTATTATTCCTTTTTAGTGTTTTGGTTCGCTTTTTGATTATGTTCCCATTTTTTTCTCTCTCCCAATATTGTCTCGTCTTATATTGTGCTGGCTGTTGTTAACCTGTGTTGAGACTCGGCTCTCACATCCACGCTCATATTTCAACATCCCACTTATTTAGGAAAGCTAGTTGTCAGGACATGCAGCCACTTTTCTCATTTCTTGTTTTTACCTAGGATTTTGGGAGTTGTCTTACTATCTTCTCCGTATGACCGTCTCTTTCTTCTATTACTATTCGTGAAATGTTAGTAACAGTTGAGGGATATAACACAAGAGACATTACTTACAATAAATTCTTGTTTCAGGTGCGCGTTGCTTACAGAAAAGCCTTGCTGAAATTTCACCCGGATAGAGCTTCACGATCTGATTTACAACAGCAAGTTGAAGCTGAGGAGAAATTTAAGCTCATTTCTCGAATGAAGGATAAAGACTTACCAACTTTATGAAAATGACAAAGGACATAAATGTAGTTTTTTCTCAGGGAAGATATTATATTTTAGGATGGAAATTTTGTGTATAGGCCTTCAATGCTTGAACTTTTCCCATCATATGGAAAACTGGACTAAAATGCAGAAAGGTTTTTTATATCCAGGTTTAGTTTTGCTCATTTCTTTATGTTTTTCGTTAATGTAATTTTGTTCTTCCATTGTTGAGATGGCTTTCAGGAATTGCTCAACCAAGGCTGTAATTTTTTCAATTTTTTTTTTTAAAAATCATTGGTCACTGGTTATGTGACTTTAGTTGATTTTAAGGTCAAGTTTCTATTCGTCGTGATTTTTACCAAGGTGACACTTCCATTGAAATGGATGGAGTAGCTGAATTTTAATCTTTAAATAGTTCATATTCAATGGATTTTTATTGTAAAAGATTCTTTTGCTCATAAAAGATTGTTGAACTCAATAGACATTTCACATAAATGCATAGTTTTATTTGCTTGGACAAATATAAGTACAATTATACTTCAGTTTAAACTCAATCCCACTCCATCTTTATATACATCTTAAATCTTGTGGAGAATGACTTTAACTCCATGCTGTGGACGAAGCATAAAAAGATGAGCAGGAGAGTGAACATAAGTTGGTGAAATCGTAAACATATAACGTTGTAGGATCATCGAAAGAGTAATTTTTGCTTCTGTCATTGCAAAGTTCAAGCCTAAACAAGTTCGAGGTCCATTGCCAAATGGCAAGTATGCTACTGGATTGTTGTTTGAAGCTTTCACTACTCCTTCAGCAAATCTGTCTGGTTTGAAAACATGAAAGTCTTCTCCCCATATTTTACAATCATGTTGAACTGCTAATGCTGATATATAGAAATGCATTTCAGGTGGTAAAGTTAGCTTTCCTAGCTCAACTTTCTTGTCAACTTTCCTTTTTATGAATGGCACTGGAGGGTACAATCTTAGAGATTCATCAAGAATCATGTTCATCTACATTGATCAAAGAATGTTGAAAACTGACGTAATTGAATAGAAGTATTGAAACCGATAATAAACAATTGCTTACAATTTTCAGTCTTGATAGGCCATCTGCATTAGGAACTTTGTGGCCAAATGATTCAACAACTTCTTTTCTTGCTCTTTCTTGCCACTTCTTGTTTGTAGCTAGCAAGAAGATTGTCCATCCAAGCAAAATACTTGTCGTCTCGTGACCAGCAAAATAAAATGTCTTGCACTCATCAATGATATCGTCTATCGATATTCTGTTATCTTGATAAGCCTCTAGGAGTTTTCCAAGGAAATCACTTCCAAAGTTATGGTCTTCACCAATCTTTTCCTCTTCTCTTTTCTTTATTATTCGAGTAATGCAGTCATGTATGCCCTGCTCGAGTTTCTCTGACTCTATTTCATCATAGCTTTTCCAAATTTGACTACACGAGATGTAACAAGTATGTTGGCTTAACTGATCAAACGTCGTTGATAAGCTGAACTCGTGGAGGAAGGGACTTACCTGATGCCTGGAAATCTAACTTTGTTAGCATTTCCGGAAACTAGTGAAGCTAACTTCATTAGCATCTGAAATATGTTCTTTCCTTCTGAGTAACTACTTCCAAAAGCAGTCCTGGAAATGATTTCTGATGTTAATAGCCTAAACTCTTCAAACACTTCAATTTCTTTATCTTCATAAATCTTCCAACGTTCGAGCATTGTCTCACAACTCATAATCATCATCGGAATCATACTCTACAATCACAAACATTATCGAAAAAATTAGCACTAGAGGAAGCAGAGGAACTTCCTTACCAAAAAACTGCACAAAATTCTTACTTTTAGGCTTTCTCCATGAAAAACATGGTTGGCTAGTTTCCTCATTTTTACCCATTTTTCGCCTTTAGATGACGAAACCCCGTCTCCAAAAAGCTTCTTGGGAAAACCTTCAAGATCCATTTTGGGATAATTGTTGTTTCTATTGCTCAGTATTTCTTTGAGAAGTTCTGGTTCAGTCACTACTAGTTCAGGTTGCAGTCCATACCAGTAGAGAAAATTTGGCCCTATAGTTAAGTGACATGAGAAACAGAGAAAATACAAACTAAATAAAACAAGAAAATGTGTTATAATCATTTAAATTTACCATATAGTTTCTTCCAAGAAAATATATGAGGTAGAACTCTTGGAAATATGTCATGTGACGAGTGATCCATGGCTTTGTTTATGGACTCTTTTTTAATTTCAAAAATCTCTTTGAAGTTTCCATGTAGGAACTTGTAAGAAGGACCTTGTATACCTTGAGATCTCATCATAAATTGTACATGAAATGGAGTCCACAATAGCTTCTTAACGAGGATAACTAACAAAGAAATGAAAAGAAAACTTGCGAGAATGATTATCATCATCATCATATGAATGATGTTCGCGGTTTTCTTTTTTGAATCAAGATATTGAATGGACTTGAGAGTTCAGGGTTATGGTTTTTCGCCTTTTTCTAGTGTACGGACTAAGGTTGAGAATATTAGCTTGAATTAAAAGACAAACAAATACAGATATTGGTTTTGGCTTCATTGATAGCATTCTCAAACCACCATTCTTGTTTTTACTCTTCACAAAGACCTCAATGAATAGACGGTGTGGCCCATGAAAGTTTGGGTGTCGGGCAACGTCTACAATGGATCATATCAAGCTAAAATGATGTACAATAATTCCATCTTATAAAAAAGAAATTGCAAGTGACAAGTCTCAATCTGTGTACTGTTTTTCTCTTAAAATATTATCAATTTTTCATATCTTATGTATTGCTGATGGTCATTCCTTTATCTTTATTATGTATGTCTTCTATTATAAGGATTATAATAAATGCCATGATTATATGGAATCAATAATTGGTATATAATAATGGCTGCTTATGCAAGTGTACTGGTCCCAGCTATTATACTATGAAATCAATAATGCTACATTTGTATAATATTTGGTGCTTATGCAAGCAAATTTAACTTTTGAAATATGTCTCTTATGAAGATACACTTATATTGGATTAGATTCATATTCATTATATCGGAAACAATCTATCTACCTCACGAGATAGGGGTAATTAGATTTTCTATCAACTAATGTCATTGTCATAAAGTTGGTAAGTATTTGTCCTTCATTCGAGAAATAAGCTTAAATGTCTCCTCAGCTTCAACTTGCTGTCGTATATCAGATCGTGAAGTTCTATCTGGGTGAAATTTCAGCAATGCTTTTTTGTAAGCAACGCGAACCTGAAACAAGATCTTACTCTTAAGTAACACTTAAACAAAGATGGAAGATATTTAGAGACTGATCAGCGTAAACAAACCTCATGACTAGTACCATCACCAACAGTGATTCCCAATCCACACAACACCGAAGCCATATCATGGCATGTCATTTCAAGCTTACTGAGTTCCTTCCAAACTTCAAATCGTATCTGTTCCTTCAAATTCGTATTCTCCACATCCTAAAGAGATTCATCAGATTGTTTAAAATAGTAGGAAAAATCCAAATATGGTATAAACACAGAATAACACAGAGGTAGTATAAGTGGCATGGAAGAGATACACAAAGAAAAATATAAGATAAAGAGGCTGCAAAAAGCCGCGAAATAGATGACAGAAGAGGCCAAATTGTTCTACCTTCTTTTGAGTTTCTCTCATTTCCTCCACGCGCTGCATTTGTCTCTTCTCAATTTCTAATAAATGCATACTTTCAGCCTTCTTTCTTCTCAACATCAGCTTCAACTTCTTGGCTTCTTCTGCCTGAATAGGTAAAAGCACATCAGATAACAGTAAATCTTACTTTCTTTTGGCTAATTTTAGCTTTTCCTCTGTAATTAGGCCCATGTGTCATATATTTACATGGTATTAGAGTCAGGTTCATTCCCGTTTGGGCTCCTGGTCCATGCTCCAGTTCGGCCTGGGCATGAAGAGCGGGAATGGACTAGTGCTTAGGCAATCCTCCCCTCATGACTTTTGGGGCTTAAGTTACAGATTCGAGCCTTGAGCCATGCGAACTAAGTATGATATTTAAGACGAGGAAGGTAGAAGGACATTCCCATTATTGCAGAGTATTGAAGGAGCTACTGTTGGTCCTAAACGTTGGCTCAAACAGATCTCTCGGCATCAAATACAAATAATAAATAAATAACCAGATTAGGGTCATTCATATATATAAATTGATTTTCTAATTTATGAGCATGAAAGGGAGAGAAGGTTTCATTGACCTTAAAGAAAGGGATCTAACTATCTCTTACACACTCTTACTCTCTACATCCAGCTGGCTGCAATAATTCCGATACCCCTGGAGCGTATAAGCTACAACGAGGCAAACAAAGTAGAAAACAACAACAACATATCCAATGTAATCTCACAAGTGGAGTTTGGGGAAAGTAGTGTGTACGCACCCCTACCTTGTGAAGGTAGAGAGATTGTTTCTAATAGACTCTCGGCTCAATAAATCAAAAGTAGAGAACATCAACAGTCAAATTATCAACAGGTTACAGTCTAATGAACACCGAAAACATAACAGGAAACCAAAATTTAACAGTACAAAGTACACCTGAATCGCCAACGCTTTTTGCCTAGACGCCAATTCTTCCGCTAATGCCTTTTTGTATTCAGACGTCTCTTTGATCCTTTCTCTTTGAGTAGTAATACAATTATCATTGCTTTCATCATCATCATCATCATCATCGATGAAGATTATGTCACCTCGAAACTTCTTAGGTGTCGATTCAGGGACATCAATAAAAATAATACTTTCACTCAACTCAACATCAATCAGAATAACATGATCAGCTCCTTCACCATCATTGCACCTCCTCAACATCTTTGTTCCGGTATCAGCTCGGACGGTAAGCACCCTCAATTCCAACCTAAAGGTTGTGAGTTCGAGTCAGAAGCAAAAAGGTGGGAGCTCCTAGGACGGATTAAAAAAATCACAAAAATGAGTTTTACAATCTATTTTCTCATTTATTTGTTGATCAATATTTGAAGTTAATTAGTGAGAGATTAATGTAGATGATGGTCTTGGTAAGTGTAGACAACACTCTCCTCTGCTAGTTAATAAGAGATTATTAGTAAAACATAAAATAATTCAGGTTTTAGTTTTACTTTTGGAAATCCTATAATTCAATTTCTATGAAAAAAGAATTGTATTAACAAAAAAAATAATGAAATAGATGACTTATTTATATATTATTATATTTAATAATTGAAATATATATTTGTAAAAATGTTGACAGTCCCTTTGACTTCCAAATTTATCTTTCTATATTTTTCACATAAAAGCATAAACTTTATTTTAAAAAAAAATCTGTTATTGTCTGAAAACAATAATCTTTAAAGTATATCATATAAAAATTATTTTTTTTATTTTTAAAAATATGATATTCAAATGAGAATATTAGTGAAGAAAAAATAATCAAATAATATATTTTTTTAATATTGATGATAGTGTATTAAATATACTATCAAGAAATTAAAATAAAGAAAACTATCTCCAACAAATTTTGTGTTATGAAGTTAGATATGAACAAATATTTTTTTTATGTGCTTTATTTTAGAATTGGATGATTTGTATATAATAGAAATAAATAAATGTTATTTTACAAGTTCAAAATTAGAAAATAATTGATAAACTATATCGAAAAATATCTTATAGAATTAGAATTTGTATAATAGAATTAGCTTTACACGTAATGGAAAAGAAAAGAGAAATCACTACAGAAAAAGATGAAAAAAGAGGAATAAAAAAAGAATGAACTAGGAAGAATTAAAAAAAGATGAAGTTAGATTGTAATGGTCCCATATTATAAAGTCCATTAAATAATGGATGTTCACAGATATTTTTAGACGTTTAAGAAATTGTAGTAATAAAGATTTTGGTTTTATTTTGAAAGAAAAAAAAGGTTAAATTAGTCTTTTTATAATTATGGCCACGGCCTTTATTGACAGTCCCTTTCACTTTCAAATTCTACATTGAAAAAGTGAACAATTTTGAAGGCCAAATTAGACGTGGGAATTGGGGAACATGAATAGTCAACTAAACGCGGAAAAATTATGCATTCATATCATACACACAGATCGAACCATTTAAATTTTTATGTTCTTTATTAGCTTTATTTTTGTTATCATCAACTTACTCTTGTCATTGTCCACTGTCTTGTTTGGCTAAATTCCACACTAGTCGAGTTTTTGATCCTGACGTAGTTAGTATGAAATCGGTAAATTTTGTAATAAATGGTTGTGGACAAGTGATAAATTTTGTTGGGCAACTGCTACTGAATTCGATAAATTTTGTTTGGGGGTTGATACTGAACCTGGTAAATTTTGGTGGAGAACTACTAAATTTTGTTTTGGGGTTGATACTGAACCTGGTAAATTTTGGTGGAGAACTGCTAAATTTTGGGGCGGAATTGCTACCGAAGGTATTAAATTTTATTGGGCAACTGATACTGAACCTGGTAGATGTTGCTGGAAAACTGGTACTGAACCTGGTAGATCTTGCTGGGCAACTATTAAATTTTGTTGCGGAACAGTTACCAAAACTGGTAAATTTTGCTGGAAAACAGGTATTGTACCTGGTAGATTTTGGCGGGGAACTGCTACTGAACCTGGTGAATTTTGGTGGGGAATGGCTACCGAAACTGGTAAATTTTGGTGGGCGATTGATACTGAACCTGGTAAACTTTGGTGGGCGATTGATACTGAACCTGGTAAACTTTTGTTGGGAATTGCTACTGAATTTGGTCAATTTTGCGGGGCGATTGCTGATGAATCTAGTTGATTTTGGGTGGGAACTGATACCGAAGGTGGTAAATTTTGGTGAGCAATTGCTATCAAAGCTGTTAAATATTTGTTGGCAACTGATACTGAACCTGGTAAATTTAGGCCGGGAACTGGTAAATTTTGGTGGGGAACTGCTAATGAAACTGGTAAATTTTGGTGGACTAGTGTTATTGTGGCTCAAAATTTTCACTTGGCAAGTGCTACTGACGGTTAAGAATTTTGGTTGGCAAGTGCTAGTTACGCTGAAAAGATTCAGCAGGCAAGCATTAGTGATACTGGAGGATTTTTGTGGGCAAGCACTTGTGAATTGGTTTGAAAGGATCAATCACTGGTTTCACGTAGCTTTACCCTATCTTATAACTATCGCGTTGTTTATATCTCTCTTCGTATATTATTGCTACTGCCAAAGAAGATTACTGCTCAAGGTGATGGTAACTTTGTAGTAAAATTATTTATATAGTAGATGTTTTTACTGTGTCGGAGTGGGTTAGAGTCTACCATTGGTTAGGGAATGGACTGGTAGTTTACTTATACGGACTTGAAAAATTCTCCTCTCATTAGCTAATAGCTATAATGTAATGGATATAGAAGTAAACATCATGTGCTGCATGTAGTAATTAATATGTTGTTTTCATGTCATGTGTCTTTCTTAAATGTGAAAATATAAGGGGAGCGTTACGTTACGAGTTTTGGTTTGTTTTTGGTTGGACAATTGCTGTAGATTAAGATTGAAGTTCTAGAATTTCTGATAAAAAAGTACAACCACAGAGGAAAAGCTATATTTGCCAATTTGTGTATGTACGAAGATGTATTGTTATCTAATGTGCTTTTTACATACTCAGGAAGAAGAAGCAAAGAAGGTGAAGTTGCAAAAAAGAGAAAAGGCTGAAAGTGATCGTTTATTAGAACTCGAGAAGAGAAAGAAGCAGCGTTTGGAGGAAATGAGAGAAACTAAAAAGAAGGTATGACAACTTGGCCTCTTCAGTTCTCATATTTCTTTGTGTCTCTATTCCATGCTGTGTTATTTGAATTTTTCCTACTGTTTAAACCAGCTGATGTATCTTTTTAGGACGTTGAGAATATGAAATTGAAGGAGAGGATACGAGACAAAGTTGGAAAGGAACTCAGTATGCTTGAAATGACATGCCATGATATGGCTTCACTGCTGCGTGGATTGGGAATCACTGTTGGTGGTGGCACTATTCATGAGGTTTGCTTACACTCCGTCTCTAAATAAATAATTGTTTACATCAGTCTCTAAATATCTTCCATCTTTGTTAAGTGTTACTTAGAATAAATTCTTGTTTCAGGTGCATGTTGCATACAGAAAAGCATTGCTGAAATTTCACCCGGATAGATCTTCAGGATGTGATATACGACAGCAAGTTGAAGCTGAGGAGAAATTTAAGCTTATTTCTCGAATGAAGGACAAATACTTACCAACTTTATGACAGGAAAATGATTATATTTTAGGATGGAAATTTTGTGTATAGACATTTCAATGTGAACAGCTGCACTCAAATGCAGAGGAGGGTTTTATTTCCAGGTTTAGTTGTCATTTCATCGTGTTTTTGTTGATGTAAGCATAAAGACAAATCTAAACGGAAAAGGTTCAAAAATGCACTTAGTGTATTAGAAATGGTTCAAAAATGTCCTTGTTCCATCTATTTGATCACATATGCCCCTAATTTTAGTTTCAGTCTTAAAACTGCCTCTCCATTAACTACACAACTATATGGTATTTAATTAAATTTTAGTAATTTAAAAAAAAGGTCACTTGTACAACTAAAATTTAATTAAATGTCATGTTTGGTAAACCTAACTCTTTATTAAAAGCTAATAAAAATCTTAACTGTATATGATAATGACAAAACTGTTACCTACATGCATCTGTCTTTATATCCATCATATAGATTCCCCTGGGGAAATTCAAGTAGTGTGTACGTACTCCTACCTTGTGAAGGTAGAGAGATTATTTCTGATAGACTCTCGAGTCTCGACTCAATGAATCAAAAGTAGAGAACATTTTATCAAAAGACATTCACAACAGGTTACAGACTAATGAAAACAGAAAACAAAACAGAAAAAAACCACATTTGTACAAAAATTATTAGGAAGAAGTACACATGACAGACCTGAATCGCCAATGCTTTTTGCCTAGACGCCAATTCTTCCTCTACTTCCTTTTTGTATTCAAAGATCTCCTTGATCTACACAGCTCTCATTGCTTTCATTATCATCGATGACTATTACGTTGCCTCGAAACTTTTTATGTGTCGATTCAGGGACATTAATACAAATAACATTACTAAAACTTCCACTGAACATCAATCAGAATAACATAAAGAGATTATTAGTAAAACATAAAATAGTTCAGGTTTTAGTTTAACTTTTGGAAATCCAATAATTCAATTTGGTTTTTCAACTTCTATGAAAAAATGAAATAACAGACTTATGGTATATGTTTGTATTTAATACCAGTTGTAAATATGTTGATGTTTGGCTTCCCAATTCTACATTGAAAAACTGAAAATTTTTGAAGGCAAAAAGACATGGGAATTAATTCAGCAATAAAATGAATTATACAATTAGTCAATTAAATATGGAAGAACAGTTACTCCTCAATGCATTCATATCATACACTACTTAAACTGGTAAATTGTTGTGGACAAGTGTTACTGATGATGAATTTGCAACTGCTACTGAATTCGATAAATTTTGTTGGACAACTGATACTGAATCTAGTAGATATTGCTGGGAAACTGCTATTGAACCTGGTAAATTTTGGCGGGCAACTGTTATTGAACCTGGTAGATTATGGTGTGAAATTGCTACCGAAGCTGGTAAGTTTTGGTTGGCAGTTGATACTAAACCTAGATGATTTTGGTGGGGAACTGCTATCGAAGTTAGTAAATTTTGGTGGGGAACTGCTATCGAAGCTGTTAGATTTCAGTTGGCAACTGATACAGGGGCTTGACAATTTTAGTTTGCAAGTGAAGAATTTATGTAGGGAACTTGTGAATTGGTTCGAAAGGATTAATCACTGGTTTCATGTAGCTTTACCGTATCTCATGACTTTCGCGATGTCTGTAGCTCTCTACATATGTTGTTGCAACCTCCACGGTAGATTACTGCTCAAGGTGATGGTAACTTTGGCTGACCAATTGCTGTAGATTAAGATTATGTTAAATTAGCGAAAAGAGAGTAAGATTTGTGTATGTATGAAGATGTACTGTTATCTGATGTGCTTTTTATCTATTCAGGAAGAAGAAGAGAAGAAGTTGCGTTTGCTGAAAAGAAAGAAGGCTGAAAGTATGCGTTTATCAGAAATGGAGAAGAGACAAAAGCAGCGCGTGGAGGAAATGAGAGAAACTCAAAAGAAGGTATGATAATTTGGCCTCGTGACTGTTGTCTATTTCACAGTTCTTTTGCAGCCTTTTAACAGATGAATCTTTTTTAGGAATTACAGAATATGGCTTCAGTGTTGCACGGATTGGGAATCACTGTTGGTAATGGCACTAGTCATGAGGTTTGTTTACGCTCAGTCTGTAAATATCTTCCATCTTTGTTAAGTGTTACTTAGAATAAAATCTTGTTTCAGATTCGGGTTGCTTACAAAATTGCATTGCTGAAATTTCACCGAGATAGATCTTCAGGAACTAATATACGACAGCAAGTTGAAGCTGAGGAGAAACTTAAGCTTATTTCTCGAATGAAGGAAAAATACTTACCAACTTTATGACAGTGATAAATGTAGTCTATTCTCAGGAAAATAATTATATTTTTAGGAAAATGTGAACAGCTGCACTCAAATGCAGAAAAGGTTTTTATTTCCAAGTTTAGTTGTAATTTTCTTTTCTCAGGGTTCAGGTGGCTCTCAGGATGTTCCAATCTTATATAAAATGAGTTCTTGATGGCTTTTTACCTCTCAGCTTTGGTCTTCGAAAATGTTTTTGAATGAATTTTGCAAATATGGAGGCAACTCTAAACGGAAAAGGTTCAAAACTACACTCATTCATTCACTGTTGTTCTCAACCTGTTGAATTCTAGCAAACATATAGACAACTCTAAACGGAAAAGGTTCAAAAATGCCTCTTAGTTTCTGTCTTAAAATTGCCTCTCCATTAATGACACAACTAAGGAGGTCACTTGTATAACTAAAATTAAACTAAATGTCATGTTTGGTAAGCCTAACTCTTTATTAAAAGCAAATAAACCTAAACTATATATGATAATGACAAAACTATAATCTACATGTATCTGTCTTTATATCCATCATATATATTCCCTACACATCATTGTCAAAAAAACTTTGTTTAAATTAATCTCAAAGTTAAATAGAGATGATGCATTTCACTCATTTCTCATATCATAACTTAAACTACCTAAAGATGGATATAGGGAAACTCATCTTACTCTTCTTTTTCACTACCCTTTGCTTCTATCTCCTATGGACACTCGTAAAATTCGTTTACTTAGTATGGTGGATGCCACTTCAAACACAAATTAAAATGAGCTCTCAGGGAATTAAAGGCCCTTCTTATAGTTTTCCTCATGGAAATACCAAAGATATCTCACTAATGAGAAGCCAAACTATGGACAAACCTATGGTGGATATTTCTCATGACATTTTTTCAAGAATTCAACCTCATGTTCACACATGGACAAGGATGTACGGTAAGAAAATCAATCGTTTATGGGTTTAAGTTATATAGGTCCGTGTAAATATTTCTTGTATTGTCTGTGTAGCTTAATCTATGATAGCAGGTAAGTACTAGTTTTATATGTAGTTAACAATGGAGCTAGAGGGGTGCAAAGGGGTCTGAACTCCCTTTGTTGAAGAATTACGTTGTATATATCAGGTTAAAGTTGTTTTTTTGTTATATTACATAGTTGAATCCCCTTGATTTCTATATATTAGTGATAATCCTGACTTTGTAATTGTTTGTAATTATCTTATAAGTGACCTGATTGTGTAATTACGCCATCATCAGTGTATAGAACTTAAATTGATCGTTTCATTGCTCGTTGTGTTTGGTTTGTTTGGTGACAGGGAGGAATTTCCTCACTTGGCATGGCTCAAAACCATACTTATTTGTCACTGAACCAGAGCTGATCAAAGAAATATTATCCAACAAAGAAGACACTTATCCGAAAATGGATATGGAAGGCTATGCGAAGAAACTACTAGGGGAAGCACTTATAACAAATGAAGGTGAAAAATGGGTAAAAGTAAGAAAACTGGCCAACCACACTTTCCATGCAGAAAGCCTGAAAGTAAGTACTTGGAATACTACGATATCAGTAATTTCGTCTTTAAAATTTTAAATTACTGATCTTAGTATGAACGGATGGAATATGCACAGCGTATGGTACCAGAAATGAGTGAAAGTGTACAGAAAATGCTAGAAAGATGGAAAGAACACGAAGGAAAAGAGTTTGATGTGTTCAAGGATTTTGGGCTGTTAACAACTGAAGTAATTTCCAGGACAGCATTTGGAAGTAGCTACATGGAAGGCAAACATATTTTCGAGATGGTGGCAAAATTGACTGCAATTACTGTAAAGAATGTTTACACTGTCAGATTTCCTGGAATCAGGTAGTCTGCATACTATTTAATGGAATTTCGTTAGGACGTTTATGCCTCGTTTTTAATTATTTGTTTTCTCCGATTTTGCAGTTGGCTTATAAGAACAGATGATGAAATTGAAGCAGAGAAACTTGAAAGAGGGATCAAGAACTCCATTCTTGAGCTAGTAAGTAAAAGAGAAAAGGGCAAAGATGAAATGTATGAAAAGTTTGGGAATGATTACCTAGGACAACTTATGAAGCTTTTGAATGAATCCGACACGAACAAGAGTATCACAATAGATCAAATGATCGACGAGGTCAGGACATTGTATGGTGCTGGTCATCTTACAACGACAAGCTTACTTGGCTGGTCTGTTTTTCTCTTAGCACTTCATCCCGAATGGCAAGAAAAAGCCAGAAAGGAAGTTGTTGCATTCTGTGGCCTTGAAAATCCAACTTCTGATGCAATTGCAAGACTAAGAACAGTAAGCAACACTCTCAGACTTGAATTGTGCTTACGTTGTTAGAGAGAGTACATTTTTATCTACTTAATTATATCTTAAACATGCCCCTTCAAGTGTCGGCCTGCTCCTTCTTCATGAGCCATGCACGTGGAAGTTCTTTTTAACAATGAATGGTGGTGAAACTTGAACACAAGGCCTCTGCCTGCTTAGTGAGATCACACTTTTATTTACTTAATTATATCTCCAACAGTTTCTTTTTGTCGTTTCTTGCAGATGAATATGATAATTAATGAATGTATGAGATTGTATCCTCCAGTTATTACAGTGACAAGGAAAGTTGAACGCGAAGTTAGACTAGGGAGCATGACTCTTCCAGCTAACATGACAATTTTCATGCCAATTCTGGCACTGCATCATGATCCTCGAATATGGGGTGAAGACGTTCACGTCTTCAAACCAGAGAGGTTTGCAGAAGGGGTAGCTAAAGCAACTAACAACAATGCAGCAGCATTCTTTCCCTTTGGATCGGGACCTCGTACTTGTGTTGGTCTGAACTTCACAACCAACGAAGCAAAGATTACTTTATCGATGATTTTGCAGCGTTATAAGTTCACTCTGTCACCTAATTATGTGCATTATCCATCTGATATTTTCCTTTTGACTCCCAAAGATGGAGTTAAAGTTGTCCTTGAATCCATTTAGGTATATCAATGTCTCTAAATGATGTACAATAAATAAAGCTTCTGAATTCACGAGTTCTTATTTTTCTTCTTAATCTCGATCACTTGTACTGAAGATAAAACCTCACCTTTTAAATATACTCAAAAGCACCAAATACTATACAATTATAGCATTATTGATTTCATATTATAATAGCTAGGACCACACTTGCATAAGCACCTAATATAATATACCATTATTGAGTCCATATTATTATAATAAAAGATAATAGATATCAAATCAAGATGATATTAAAACGATGTCTTCCACACATGGCCATCAGCAACTCAAAACCTAACTACCTAAAGATGGATACAGGGAAAATTATCTTAGTCTTCTTCTTCACTACCCTTTGCGTCTATCTCCTATGGACACTCGTAAAATTCGTTTACTTAGTATGGTTAATGCCACTTCAAACACAAAATAAAATGAGCTCTCCGGGCATTAAAGGTCCTTCTTATAGCTTTCCTCATGGAAATACCAAAGATATATCCCTAATGAGATGCCAAACTATGGATAAACCTATGGTGGATATTTCTCATGACATTTTTCCAAGAATTCAACCTCATGTTTACACATGGACAAGGATGTATGGTATGCACAAAATCATTTGTGTAGTTACGTCATCATTATTGTATAGAACTTAAACTGATCGTTTAATTGTTCATTGTGTTTGGTTTGTTTGGTGACAGGGAGGAATTTCATCACTTGGCATGGCTCAAAACCATACTTATTTGTAACTGAACCAGAGCTGATCTAAGAAATATTGTCCAACAAAGAAGACACTTATCCGAAAATGGACATGGAAGGCTATGCGAAAAAACTACTAGGGGAATCACTTGTAACAAATGAAGGTGAAAAATGGGGAAAAGTAAGAAAACTTGCCAACCACACTTTCCATGCAGAAAGCCTGAAAGTAAGACTTAAGAGCTTAACAATATCACTATTTTGTCTTTAAAACGTTAACGTACTGATCTTGGAATGAACGGATGAAATTATGTACAGCGTATGGTGCCAGAAATGAGTGAAAGTGTTCAAAAGATGCTAGAAAGATGGAGAGAACACGAAGGAAAAGAGTTCAATATGCTTAAGGATTTTAGACTGTTAACAACTGAAGTAATTTCTAGGACAGCATTTGGAAGCAGCTACATGGAAGGCAAACATATTTTCGAGATGGTGGCAAAATTGACTGCAATTACTGTAAAAAATGTTTACACTGTCAGATTTCCTGGAATCAGGTAGTCTGCATACTATTTAATGGAATTTTGTTAGGATGTTTATGCCTCGTTCTTAATTATTCATTTCTTCAATTTTGCAGTATTCTAATAAGAACAGATGATGAAATTGAAGCAGAGAAACTTGAAAGAGGGATCAAGAACTCCATTCTTGAGCTTATAAGGAAAAGAGAAAAGAGCAAAGATGGAATGTTTGAAAATTTTGGGACTGATTACCTGGGGCAACTTCTGAAGCTTTTGCACGAACCAGATACGAACAAGAGTATCACGTTAGATCAAATGATCGACGAGATCAAAGCATTGTATGGTGCTGGTCATCTTACAACGACAAGCTTACTTGGCTGGTCTGTTTTTCTCTTAGCACTTCACCCCGAATGGCAAGAAAAAGCCAGAAAGGAAGTTGTTGCATTCTGTGGCCTCGAAAAAACAACTTCTGATGCAATTGCAAGACTAAAAACAGTAAGCAACACCCTCATCGAAAACTATGTTGCTCAGACTCTTCAAAACATGTCGATGAGTGCATGTTGGATACTCCAAAAGTAGAGCATTTTTGGAGAATCTGACAGAGGTACAGCAATATATATTTGGAGAGTCCGAGCAACATAGTCTAAAAGTTTTAAATTGTCAGAGAGATTATCACACTTTACTTTATTATATCTTCAACGGATTCTTTTGTCGTTTGTTGCAGATGAACATGATACTTAATGAATGTATGAGATTGTATCCTCCAGCTATTACTTTGACAAGGAAGGCTAAAAGAGAAGTTAGACTAGGGAGCATGACTCTTCCAGCTAACATGACAATTTTCATGTCAATACTGGCACTGCATCATGATCCTCGAATATGGGGTGAAGACGTTCACGTCTTCAAACCAGAGAGGTTTGCAGAAGGGGTAGCTAAAGCAACTAACAACAATGCAGCAGCATTTTTTCCCTTCGGATTGGGACCTCGTACTTGTGTTGGTCAAAATTTCACAACCAACGAAGCAAAGATTGCCTTGTCGATGATTTTGCAGCGTTATAAGTTCACTCTGTCACCTAATTATGTGCATTATCCATCTGATAATTTCCTTTTGACTCCCAAAGATGGAGTTAAAGTTGTCCTTGAATCCATTTAGGTATATCAATGCCTCTAAATGATGTACAATAAATAAGAAGTTATGAAAAACAAAGCCTCTGAATTCACGAGTTCTTATTTTTCTTCTTAATTTCAATTACTTAATAGTGTGTACGAAAACTTTACCCCTATGCGTGATTGGGATTATAATTCTGAGCATTCACATAAATCAAAGTATCAAAAAAGAAACTACGTTTAGTAGAGTGATCAATTAATTTTAAGAAATTATAACTGTTAAAACCATGCTAAAAAGGTTATTAAGTTCAGACACAATGTATATCTTCATTGACATATAGTTAAATTTACTTGCATAAGCACCAAATGATATACAATGATGCCATTATTGATTTCTATTATAAGAGCTAGGACCACACTTGCATAAGCACCCAATATTATACAATTGTAACATTATTGATTCCATATTATCTTGGCTTTTATTATAATCCTTGTAATAAAAGACAGATAAAATAAAGACAAAGGATATCAAATCAAGATGATATTAAAATGATGTCTTCCTCCCATTGCCATTAGTTATTCTAAGAGGAAAAAATGTACACAGATTGAAACTTCTCATTTTGGCATGAAATTATCCATTGTAGTCGTTGTCGATTACCTAAACTTTCATGGTCCTCACCGTCTATTCATCGAGGTCTTTGTCAAGAGCAAAAACAAGAATGGTGTTTTGAAATGCTATTAGTGAAGCCAATATTTGAGCTAATATTCTCAACCTTAGTCAAGTACATTAGAAATCATATGATGATGATGATGATAATCATTCTCGCGAGTTTTCTTTTCATTTCTTTGTTAGTGATCCTTGTTAGGATCGTTAAGAAGCTATGTTGGACTCCATTTCATGTACAATTTATGATGAAATCTCAAGGTATACAAGGTCCTCCTTACAAGTTCCTACATGGAAACTTCAAAGAGATTGAGGAAATGAGAAAAGACTCCAAACGACGCCATGGATCACTTATCACATGACATATTTCCAAGAATTCTACCTCATATATTTTCTTGGAAGAAACTATATGGTAAATTTAAAAGACTATCACACACTTTTCTTGTTTTACTTAGTTTGTATTTTCTCTACTGGTATGGACTGCTACGTACCTGATATAGTAGATAAACATGATTCTTGACGGATCTCTAAGATTGTACCCTCCAGTACCATTCATCAAAAGGAAAGTTCAGCTAGGAAAGCTAACTTTACCACCTAAAATGCATTTCTATATATCACCATTAGCGGTTCATCATGATCGTAAAATATGGGGAGAAGATGTTCATGTTTTCAAACCGGAAAGATTTAAGATGTATATAAAGCACAATTGTACTTAAATTTGTTCAAGCAAATAAAACTCAGTAATAATTTATAATCACACAAACATCTGTGACTATACATAATCTTCTTCTTAAACTCAACGTCAAATCAAACTGTACATCAGATAAATTAAGACAGAAGAACTAACAAAAGAGTCATAATTTAATTAATACACAAGCTAGTAACTAAACAACATGCATCAATATAAGAAAAAGAGAAATAATTTCATTTCTTGCCAAGTTTTTTCATCATCTTCTTCTTTTTGTTAGAATTAGCCCTTGCATCATATTCTAAAATTGAAAAATCATGTTGATCAAACTTTTTCATTTTTTCACACACACCATTCAATGAGATAACAACAACATAACTTGAAGCACTTTCAATTTCCTCAACTTCACTATTTTCTATATCATCTCCTCCAAATTATGTTTACAACTATTTTTTTTCTCCATTTTTTTAATTTATTTTTTGTTTTAATAGATAAAGAGTGACTCTCCTTATATAGGAAAAATTATGTACATTTTAATTGTCAGTTTTACATTGGAGAACTCAATAATTTTGAAGGCAAAAATACTTTGGAATTATGTAATTCAATTAATTGTACTATTTGGGGAATATCAACAGTCTACCTATTGATGAGTCTCACGACAGATGAAAAAAGAGACAGATCGGATGGTCTTTTCTTATATGATTTTCATGAAAGGGAAGGCTAATTTTTTAAATAAATAAATTAAAAGGGAATTCTGGTTTGTGATGGTGTCACGTAGGCGGGCCTAAGGTTCTCTTTTATATATGATATATGATTATAGTCAAAGATTAGTAAAAATAAAATTATTCATATACTTATTTTGTCCTAAATTACCCGACCACACTTATTTTAAGAATTTAAATTTAAATTCAATTTTTCTTCATTAACTTTTTCAAGATTTAGTACCTTTTTTTGAGTAAGTATATAGTATAATTAGAACTAAGAGTGTATATCTAATATCATTTCTCTAAACATTAACATGTCAAAAAGTTGAATAAGAACCTATCTTGTTAAAATATTTTTTCCCTTGAATTGTAATTATTGAAATATTGTATTGAAATTTGATTGACTATACCAAATTCTTTTAAGGTGTGTATTTGATATATATTTCCGATTACCAATTATCGTATTATTGAATTATCAAAATCGAATCTTTAAAATATTGAATCGAATATCGAACCTCCTTGGTACTAAATTTTGCCTTTTAAGATGTCTTAAGTTGGAGATTGATAAAAAAAAAAAAAAAAGCTTTTCGATTGTCTTATTAACTTTTACATTATAAGCAACCACAAAAGAATTATTAATATTGATTTTTTGTAATTAAAAAAAATTCTCTTTTCTGTTGGA